TTCTGAACTATTGTTTTTAGGATGTTCATATGTGTGTGTGTATGTGTGTATGCATGTGCCTGTTTGCATATGTATAAGTAAGTATCCAGGGAGAGACCAGAGGTTGCTATGGGGAGTCTCCCACAATCACTCTCTGCTTTATTTCCTTAGGCAGTGTTTCTCACTTGAACCCAGAGCTCACTGACTGACAGGTCTGAGTAGCCAGCTTCCCCCAGGATACCCTGTCCTTCTCTGGACTGCAGAATGCTGGAATTATATGGGGGCTGCCACGCCCACGCGGCATTCACATGGGTGCTGGGGGTCTGAACTCTGGTCTTGATGTTTGCAGGGCAGGCGCCGCCCACTGAGCGTTTGTTTCCCCAGCCTCTGAGCTGCGGTTTTATGTTTTAGGTAGGGAGCAGCCATCTGTAGCATTTCCGGGGCACCTGAATTGAACAGCGAAGTCAGAAGGAAGACTTGGCAGTGGGTGTAACAACCTGAGGAGGTAGAACAACGACCATTACACAGGAAATGTGGGGTGGCGGAGTTTAGTTCCCAGCACCCAGCACCACATCTGTTTGTAACCCCAGATTCAGGGACTCCAAGGACACACACACATAGATGGTGGATGCTCATACAAACAATACACATGCACAAATAATAAAAGTAAAACACCTTTTTAAAAAATGGAATTTTCTTCTCTATTTAAAAGACAATGCTTTGGGAAGGCAGGTACACTCAGCATTCTAAAAAGAATTTATATCAGACTGCTCACCCCAAGTTCACAGTTAGTTTGTTCAAGGTAAACTTTGATCTAAAAAAAAAAAATGACATTACAGGGTCTGACATTACAAAGGCTATTGAAAACGGGGTTCTCCTTCTGTAGTGTGTGGCCTCTGGAGTTACATGTGGTCCTGTAAATTTCTTAATAAATGCATCGTTAATGTGTGTCATTTCCAGAGAGACATTTGGAAGCCAGTGTGTTGTTCATGATTCTTTATGTTCGTGACCCGTGCCCTGGTCATTATGGAAGCGTGCACTGAGCATAAGATGCCCTCAAATGGCAGCTGCCAGGAATACCTAACCCTGTACCAAAAACATCTGCAGTGTTCTTTTAGCATGAAATAAACTTCCTTAACACTTCTTGTGTCTATAACATGTTTTTGTGTGTGCATGTTTGTGTGAGCGCATGTGCACATGTCAATGTGCACGCATGTGAAGGCCTGTAGCTGATGGGTGTATTCCTCAATCCCTTTCCACCTTAGTTTCTGAGGCAGGGTCTCTCCCCAACCACAGCTCACTGATTCAAACAGACTCTCTGGCCAGTAAGACTCAGAGGCCCTTCCGCCTCTGCTTCCCCAGCGTTGGGGCTGCAGGCACGGACAAGCACACACTTTCCTGACTGAGCCATCTCCTCAGCCCAGTACTTGACAATAATATTAGTAGAGCAGTAGAAGACGGGTAACTTGGCTCCTAATTTTAACTTTAAAGACTGTAAAAACTACTCTTCTCTGTCTAGTGATATTGGACAAACAACACAGTGCCTGTGATCCTTAGAGCTTTAGTGTTTGTGTATTCTAGGGAAACAATAGCTCTAGCTGTGTGTTCTAAGTGTGTTATTAAAAGTACACTGGAGTGAAGTAAATCCCAGAGAATGAACTGCCATCACTGGGACTTCTCAGGTCGTCTGTGGTTGTTTCAGAGCTTGTGACCTGAAGCAAGTGTGATCCAGGTCATCCGGCACTGTTGACTAACTTGACATTGTTTTTATATTGGGTCTTCCTGGGCAAACTAAAGGCAGGAAAAATGTCTAAATCTCTGGCTTCAGATAGATTGCCTTTTTAGCCTCACGAAGGATGGATGTGGCTTCATCCCAGAGTCTGAACTAGTCTTAGAGGTGCCAGAACTACCCCTGGCTTTCTTTTCCTTCTGGCAAAACAGATTCATGGCCCATCTTCACAGCCAGAAACTCAGTTTTTTACTTATAAAGCCAGCTATTTCATAATTATGTGTGTTAAAATATAGTCATCAAATGCATATATACTTACATACATATATACATACATATCCTTAAAACCCTCAGTGTTTAAATGGTTTTGGTGTAAATCCAGTTTTTCAGGGTTCAGAATTCTTTTTAAAGTCCTACTGCCTTTAATAGCCTCTCACTTTCTCTGAAAATCAGATGAGAGCATCTCTAAAGTATGTGTCCTACGTGATCCCTGCAGCTTACTGTTGTGTTTGTATCTGGGCCCTTGGAATGACTGAGGCTTCTAGTTTGTGTCTTCTAGATGAGGCCACTCGGGGCACCAGTGTCTTTTTGCTCCTTCAGAAAGGACACGAAGTAGTTGAGAGGCTGTGGTTTCAGCAGTGGCCCCAGTGCAGGCTGAACACACTGGGTGGATTCTGAGGTTCACTGGCAAGGCAGCAGAACAGCCCCCTCAGCAGGTGGCTGTAAACAGCCCTTGTGCTCTGTGACTCTGAGATGCTGCACAGTCCTTGAAATCATAGGGTAATACTTTTGTCTGTTTTAGAAAGGTAGGCCATATTTTTTTTTCTCTTAGATCACCTCTAACAGAGGAGACTGTTAGCACCCAGCAGATTTATTAAATCAGCAGTATGGCATAGTTACTAAATGAGCTATTTTGTGAAGCTAGGGAGCAAAGTTCTGAAATTTTTACTTAATTTCTCCTTTTTACTTGTGCTTAGTTTTGTTTTAATTAGCAATCATTTCCCATACTTTAAATTTACCAAAACCACATTGAATTTCCATTCCTTTTAAAACAGCTACATCATATGACCAAACACTGCTAGGTTATAAACTTCTAAAATTAGAAAAGTAAGCTTGCATAAATCTTTATTTAGACAGCAGCAGTATTACAAGTTACGTTTCAGGCCAGGCAGTCTCTGGCCTGATTTTTGTCACTGACTGTGTTTCACTGCAAGCCAACACCTTTCAGAGCATCTGTTGTTCATTTCTTCCCATTTCTTTTTTCTCCCTCCCTTCCCTCCCCTCCTTTCCTCCCTCCTTTCCCTCTTCTTCCTCCCTCCCTCTTTTTATCCCCTCCTCTCTCCCCTCCCTCCTTCTTCCCTCCTTCCTCCCTCTTTTTCCCTCTCCCTTTCCTTTGTTATTTCCTAGGAGTTTGGATTTGGGTCAGTGTCGTGCTGCTGGTTTATTCTCTGGCTCTGTAGTAGGGCCTGAAGTCCTGATACCTCTTACAGTATTCTTTCTGTTCAGACATGTTCTGGCTAACCAGTCCTTTTTGCTTATGTATTGAATTTTAAGATTATGTTTCCCTTTCTGTGAAGAATGGCCCTGGATTTTTTTTATTGGGATGGCATTAAATCCATAGCTTAATTTTGGTAGGATGGCTATTTTCATGATACTAATTCTGATCTACAAGCATGGGGGTGGGGTTGGGGGTCTTTCCATCTCTTTGTAGATCCCTCAGTTTCTTTCTTCAGTGTTTTTTAGTTGTCAGTATAGAGGTCATTCATATCCTTGGCTAGGCTTATTCTGATGTTTTTGTTTTGAGGCTAGTATAAATATTCCCTGGGTTCCTTTCTCACTGTGTTTGTTATTGGTGTACAGAAAGGCTATTGGTTGTGTATGGTAACTTTTTTTTTTAGCCTGGCTTTTGCTAAAAGTATTATCAGTTCTAGGAATTTCCTGGTGGAGTTGTTAGGATCTCCTAAGTATGGATTCATACCCTCTGCAAATGTAGATGCTCTGCCTTCTCCTTTTCCTGTCTACATCCCTGTTATTTGCTTCCCTTGTCTTACTAGCTTAGACTTTGAGCACTATATTGACTAAGGGTAGAGAAAGTGGACACCTACATCTTGTTCTTGCTTTAGTAGGAATGCTTTTAGGCTCTTCTCCACTAACTATAATATTGGCTGCAGGAATGTTGTTTGTAGTCTTTTACTTTTTTTTAAATATTTGTTTGTTTGTTTGTTTGTTTTGGTTTTTCGAGACAGGGTTTCTCTGTGGCTTTGGAGCCTGTCCTGGAACTAGCTCCGCAGACCAGAGCTGGTCTCGAACTCACAGAGATCCGCCTGCCTCTGCCTCCTGAGTGCTGGGATTGTTTATTTATTATGTATACAATATTCTGTCTGTGTGTATGCATGCAAGCCAGAAGAGGGCACCAGACCTCATTACAGATGGTTGTGAGCCACCATGTGGTTGCTGGGAATTGAACTCAGGACCTCTGGAAGAGCAGTCAGTGCTCTTAACCTCTGAGCCATCTCTCCAGCCTGTTTGTAGTCTTTTAGATTTTTATTTCATGTGCTTCGGGGCTTGCCTGCATTTATGTCTGTTTGAGGGCATTGGATCCCCTGGAATTGGAGTTAGACAGTTGTGAGCTACCATGTGGGTGCTGGTAATTGAACCCTGGTCCTCTAGAAGAACAGTCAATGCTCTTAACTGCTGACCATATTTCCAGCCTGTGTTTATAGTCTTTATCATGTTGAAATGTGGTCCTTCTATTCTGAGTTTCTTCAAGACTTTTATCATGGAGTTGGATTTTTTCAAAAGCCTTTTCTGCACCTATCAAGTTGAATGACTGTGTGATTTCTGTCCTTCACTCCATTTATGTAATATATAGTATTTATTGACTTTTCTATATTGAGCCATCCCTGACTCTCTGAAATTAAGCCAACTTGATCATGATGAATAATCTTTCTGATGTGCCCTGAATTCATTTCACAAGTTTATTTTTTCCATCTTTATTAAAGTAGAATTGACAAAATTACAGGGAAATTTTTATAATGAAAAGTGGGACAATCTGGCTCTCCTTTCCTTCCTCTTGTTTTCTTTCTTGTATTAATTTGCTAGATTTAGCTCACCTACAGGGTTAGGTGCGGGCTTACAAATATTCAATTCATTTTAGAATTAGGAGGTGAGAAGAAAGGATAGAGAAAATGCCAACCCTTCCTCCATGGACTGTTTTCTGTTAGCACACACCTCATTGCAACATGGCTTAACACCTCAGGATACTTTCTCTAAAAAACATTTCTTTTTCTAGGAAGAAGAAAGACGTGTGGCATCTGTTGTAGCCAAAAAAGAGGAGGAGAAGAAGAGGGAAAGTCATAAGCAGTCTTTGTTGAAGGTATATTCCTCAGTGTCTGCCTCCACTGCACACAGGAGCACACACACTGATGCTGACCAGCCAGTAGGAACATGACTTTCAAAACTAAGTTTGTGTTTTTGTAAATAAGCCCTGCTAAGAACTTCCACGGGTTACTCTGTAAATCAATCTGAACTTAGGAAATATAGAGGTCTGTGTATACAAGATGTGCAAGGTGGACATTGTAAAACAAAGAGACGCAGCAGCAAGATGAATGGAATTAGGGCATTTCTCATGCCAGTGTGGTGTTTGTGTATTGCCTGGCATTAGTATAACACTCTGATAGATCTGTGATTGACAGCTATCTTTACTGATATGTTTTTATAAGCTTTGCTCTGAGTTCTTAATGACAGCTTTTAAAACCTAAAATGTTTCTCCATTAGCACCTTTGATACAGAAATGGTGAAACTCTTGAGGAATTCAGAAGTGAAAATGTGCTTTAAAGTAGTTCTAAGTAATCAAATATAACTGATGTAAAGTTCCCCCAGTGGTGATTCTTTTAGAATCTTCACGTTGTCATCACAAAGCCTGGTGAAGACAGGTTAGAATGGCAGCTGGGCTCTAAATTAAGCTTGTCGTCCTAAGTAGTACTCCTTTTCTTACGCTTTTCTCTTTAAAATGGCATGCAAAATTCAAAGTGACTGCAGGTCACAGTTATATGTATGAAGTATCCTTAGATCCCCAAAGGGGTGGCTGTGTTCTGTGGCTTGGTCGGGGTCCAGGCTGCACAAGGACATGCATTTGTCAGAACTGTTCTGCAGTATGGAAAGATTCCTAAGTTAGCATCAAACCCGTCTCCAGCACCTTGCATGTCGAGACTACAGATCTGAAAGAGACATGAGTCATGTACTGACTGGAGGCGGTCCTCTTCCCTGCTGCCGCCACTGACCTCCAGACTCCCCAGCTCTTTTTGGCTACCCCTTATCCATTCATCAGTGTGCCTACCCCTCTCCTGACATAGATTCCTCTTGACTCGTTTCCTAACAACACGGTCTTAGTTTTCTTATGTTGGATTACCCCTAAGAGTTTATCAACATTACATTTTTAATGTTTTGTTTATAAAAATATAGCTGTAGTGGTATTTTAAAAAAAGCATACAGGAACAAGATTTGCCACTGACAGGTCACACTTAGTCACACCTTTTCAAAGTGGCCGTGCTGGGCAGGTAGCCTTACCTGCCACACCGTTGCTGCTGTCCAGTGCCTATGTGGATGAGTAAGTTAGATGGTCCGAGAGACACTTGCACACTTGAGTAAAATCGAACCTGTGGAAACCTCTCGTGCAATAGGCCCAGGGCATGGCAAGGAAGAATGGACATGGAAACTCTAGAGGCCTACCAGCTTGCCAGTGTGAGGGGAGCCTGGGACAGAATCAACCTGACTTTCATGTCCGACTGAAATTTTATCTCAGTATTACTCCCCCCACCCCCCAACTCAGCTTTTTCAACATTTAGGGAACTGTGCCATGAATTCTAGTAAGCAGTTAAAGAACTATTTGGAAAGCTTAGCAACAACTTTAGAAAATTTAGCATTTTATTTGAAGTCTTAGCACTCTCTCTGATTTCTTATGAAGACTGTTTAGCTTTTTGTTTTTAATAAGAGAACTGTTGGCACCAGCAGCCTCAGACCTGGCCCTGCTGAGAGCTGAGGCCACGTCAGAACAGAGCTCCAGTGCTCCCGTGGCTGCTTCCCTACAGCCGCACATAGGATCATGGAGACGATGGAAGCGGGGTGGGAAGGAGCCGAGGCGTGCAGAGCCTGCGGCCTCAGCTGTGCTCACATGCCATCTATGAGATGAGGGAAGCGTCAGCTGTGACGTGCACTGGTGAGGTCCTGTCTGGCCAGTGAAGAACAGACTCAAATGTTAGAAGCTAAACTTCACTCCTCGGATGCTGGTCCCTTCCACAAACACTTGACTGCCTGCAGCCACCGAACAGTGACAGGCATGGGTACAGCTGGCCTGTCAGTGCTGCCATGACCTTGCAGGTCTTGCCTTCCCTTGTTACCCCATAGACAGCTTGAGCCCTCCTGTGGCTCTCTGCCCAACCAGGAATGCCCACTTGACCTCAGGATAGACTCATGACTTTTTTTCTTCTCTAGACCCCAACAAAATCACCTCCTGACTTAGTCAACCTAGAACCAAGCTGCTTTCAACAGCCTGGAGAAAGGAAGTGCTGCTCTGGTGTGGGTGTGAAAAAGGATTTGCCTTTTCTGAGGCCATCTTGTTACACATTTGCTCACACACCCCATGGTGGAAAGGGATTCTCTGACTTTCTCTAAACACTGCTGTGTCTGTCTATCTCATTATGATTTTTTTCTGACAGCTAGGAAGCCAAGTACATGGAGGCAGTGGCCTTGCCACTAGGTGGAGATGACAGCATTGTTTAGATTAGAGTTAGGTTGGCACAGCAAATAACTGAAATAGAATTTTATAAGGTAAGTGTTTTTCATATTCTAAATAGAGTAGTAGTGTTTTATAGTAGAATAGCAGGACTTCAATTGCTATGTGCAAGAACAATTTATGCACAAAATGTCAATCATCTCAGACATATATACACAGTATTTACAATGTTCTAAACTATGCAGACATTTGAAATAACAAACTGCAGAACAGAGAACTTGGGCCAAAAACATTTCTAAATGTGGAAGGAGAACTTTTGAAAAGGTTAGTTCCGTTAAGCAAGCCGTCACTTGCGGTTCCTGCCCAGTGCCACACACACTAGCTAAACTCTTAGGTAAGCAAACATAGGCAGAGGTGCAACTCCAAGTGCTTGTTTTCATTTGCGCAGGCGCCAAGGGAGTGGGAGAGAAGCCCCTAGCCCTTCCCTGGCTCCAGAATAGACCTCCTGGAGAGGGGCTAGTAGCTCACTTGGTAGATGTTTTTCACTGGCAAATTTTGAATGAAAGAGAAAAAGAAAGAATCTATATTTAGCATTCTAATCTAACTTAGATTTTAAGATGTTAACTTTTGAGGCCAGCAAGATGACTCAGCAAGTAAAGGTTTTTGCCACCAATTCTGCCGACCTTAGTTCAGTCCCAAGAACTGGCATGGTGGAAGGTGAGAACTGACTCTGGCAAGTTATCATGTGACCTCTGACCTCCATACCCATGCATCATGGCACATACAGGCACTCACACACATACATGCACGCATACACGTGCACACACACACACATTCTCACACACACTCTATAAAATGTAAAAAAAAAAAAAAAGTAAAGGCTGCAGAGATGGCTTTTCAGTTGAGAGCACTGGCTGCACAGGACATGGGTTCAATTTCCAGCACCCAAATGGCAGCTCTCAACTGTCTGTAACTCCACTTTCAGGGGATCTGACACCCTCTTCTGGCATCTATGAACACTGAAACTATGTGGTTCACAGACATACATGCAGGTAAAATATCCATACACATGAAACAAATAATTTTAAATAAAATAAAAATAAATGAAGCATTGCCTTTTGAAAATGGTGATAGTACCAGAATAGGAACCCTTACCCAGTCCCTGTCAGCTGCATCTGCATAGAATAGAGCGTGTTAATGGAGCATGACTTCTTTGGGCTTACGGTTTCTTTTTTTCAGAAGGGTTTCTATGAGACAGCTGAGTTCCAAGGCTGCAAGTCAGTGGTTCTCACTGCATGAGAAGTACTGGAGTGTGTTAGAGGGCCAGACTCCTGACCCCCCAAAGGCGGGTTAGTTGAGGCACCCTGAACTCCAGTGCCCCTGCCCAAGGCATCATCCATTGCTTTACTTTACTCAGCCTTCCTGTTCTTCTACAATGATGGTAGCTGTCCAGAAAATGTTTACCCAGTAGAACTTCTTCTAGTAGCCTAGATAACATTTTTTCATCCTTAAATGTCATGATCTGTACCATGGGGGCTGGAGGGAGGGCTCAGCACTGAGAGTGCTCGCTGCTCCTGCAGCACACGTGTTTGTAACGCCAGTTCTAAAGGGTCTGATGCTCTCTTCTCCACGGTAACCCACACATACGTTCACATAAATAAAGTATTTTTAAAACCAAGTTACACCATGAAATATGAAATACTAATCAGTCCCCACCCTTTTTCTCTTCCCTAATCATTGGGTAAAAGACGAAAGTATTAGTAGCTACTTCTTGCTCTGTTTAAGGACAGAGGCATATAACTTTGCCAAGCCAGAGTTTCAGTTAGTGAAATAAATAATCTCACTGTTCAGAACAAGAAGTATACTAATTTTCCATGTAGGCTGACAGCATTATTAAGAGGTTTGAGCATGGGGTGAACACAGACTCATAGGCTTGCTTTTGAAGGTGTGCTAGGTGTTTACCGCCAGGGAATTTGTTCGGAAGGTACCAGAAGAAAAGGACGGGAAGCCAGTGTTTCTCTCTTCACAGATACATGTCATATTAACTGCTCTTCCATTACCTTCCTGTAGGAGAAGAAAAGGCTAACAATTAACAATGTCGCTCGAAAGTGGGACTTGCAGCAACGAGTAGCCAATCTTGCCACCACCCAGGACAGAAAGGACTCCGAGTCCCCTCTGCAGGAACCCTGTCAGATCGATGGAAGCGCCGCCATCTCTGCATTTCCAGAGGAAACAGGGTATGTGACAGCGCTCTCATGTGCTATGGCGCTTCTAGAGTTGAGTTTAGAACAGGGATGGTAAACCATTTAACATAGTTATTTTTGAGGAATAATTTTCTTAAGAAAGCCAAAGCTGAGATTAAGAAGTTAAGAGAAAAAATTAAAAATATAAATCTGTAACATTTCCCTACTAGAAAAATCCCCCAGTGGTTTGCTATTTTTTGAAGGGGAAAAGTCTAGAGACTGAATGTAGCCTATGAGGCCCTCTGTTCATGCACATGACCTTGGAGATACCCTGGCTCGAGAGAGAGCTTCTGAACCTTCATTCTCACCTTCTTCCCCAGCCTTTTCTGGCCTAGGCATCTGGTGAGTCTGTTGCTAGCTGCATGTTTTCCCTGGGCTTTCTACATGCCCCTTTAAATGCTTCTGACAGCCAGGCCTAGCGCCCAAATCCCAACTATTTGGGAAGCTGATGCCAAAGGATCACAAGTTCAAATCTGATCTAGAGAGTAAGTTCAAGTCTAGCCAGGGCAACTTACTGAGCCTTTGTTTCAAAATTAAAGAAAAAGTAAGTGACAAAAGGTTGGTGTGGCTCAGTGGGAAAATACTTATCAACCAGGTACAAGGCCAGGTCCAGTCCTCAGCGCTGAAAAGGCTTTGGACAAATGCTACCCAGCAGTTGCCTTAGCCCCAGTGATACTTCAGGGCAAGCTCCACAAGGGCAGACCTTGGTAGAGTCAGGTCCAGACGACAGAACACAGGGGCAGTTCTGGGGACTGTGCTCTGTACTGCGTGCCTGGTTGCCTGTGGCTGTCACCTTGAGGGGTGAGGATCAACAGGGGAGTGACGATGCCAGAGCCTCTCTCTGAAGTCCATCACAGTCAGCGTTCTTCACTGAGTATTCCTCTGGTTCTTGTCAGTTTTAGATGCTAGAACTCAGAGTCTGTCGATCTGACTGCTTTTCCTAAGGAGCCTATTGGTTTGTATTAGAGTGGAGCTTATAACCTGGCTCCTGTTCTATTTTCCCTCCCTCTTAGGACTCCAGTTAGAGTCTGTGACTGTGGTGTTACATTGCAAGATCAACAACATTTACATCCATTCTGCAAGCATAAAGCTTGGTCAGCTGATAGCATTTAAGCCTTAACAGCTCTCCTAAGCATTTAAGCCTTGACAACTGCCTAGTAGATCTGAGTTTCTATGGGAAATATATTTCTTGGCTCCGGAGTTAAGCTATGTGCTGACACTCTTCTGGTCTCCATGTCACTCAGAGAGAAGACACCCTCTTTTCATCACACTTCCAAGCTTTCCAGACCTTGCTTCATATCTGAGTGTTCTCTTCTTACACAAATTCTCTTTAATCTGTGATTTCATATTGCACAGTTTTTAAAGTTGAAAGGAATGAACCTGTAGCTAGTCAAATTTCTCTCTTGAATAGAGCTACACTTCCTGAAGTCCACTGTCCCCATGCCTAATCCAGTCTTGTCACTGCCTTTGTACTCTCTGGTTTTACTGTGTCGTTCGTAGGCTGTGACTTCTTCCTGGTATTATATTTTGTTCTCATATCCTCTTCTATTTCTCTTATTTGTTTTCTGTCCTTTCAGCCTCTTTAGAGGTAGAATCTCTCAGCTCTTACTCTGTGATTTCTTCTCCTCCTCCACTGTCTAGCTGGGAATATTTGTGCATGACAGTGGCTTTAAAGGCCATTTATAGATGAGGACACTGAAATGTATTTCTTTTCCTTTATGGATTTTTCATTTAGATGTTGCATAAGAAAGAAATTCTAAAAATATTGTCCCCATTTTGTTTCATAAAAGTTTAAATTTTGGTCTTTATCAGCCTTGGTTATACCTCACATTGATTTGCCTGAGGTGAGGGCTGGGTTTTCATTTCCTTCTATAGGAACGACCACTTACTCTAGTGTTCCATTCAGAATACTCGTTCCTTTCCCCCACTGGGATCTATGTGCATGTTTTCTTAGCAATGGGAGTAGGTGGGGGTTTCTTTCTGCCTCACTCAATGCTAGGGATTAACCTGAGGCATCACTGTTCTCAGTGAGAGCTCTGCCACCGAGCTTGGTCCCCAAGTCTAGTCCTCCAGAGCCTCAGTTACTGCCCTGGGTCATCTCCTTTCTCACTCTGTATTCGTCCCTTGAGGGGCTCTCTCAGCTGAGTGGCTGCCATCTTATTCGCAGTGTACAGCCAAGGCCGCGGTTTGTTCCTTCCTCAGCACTGGACGGCCTTCGCTGTCTGGCCTCCAGAAGCTTGCTGGGCTCCCTGCTGCCAACAGTCCTTCCTTCTCGAGCTCATGGTACTTTATACCTATCAGTCTCTTTATGTTTCCGAATGGCACCTTGAAAGCAAGGGATTTAGACATGTGGGCTCATTCCTATCTGCTGTTTTGCTCAAGAGTACAGGGTAAAGCATTATAAATGCTAGCAATTGTATTACTATTTCTTTATTAATCTTTAAAATAAACTAACATTTGCCTTTGGACAGTGATGCAAGCCATTCTTCTTAAAGGCGTTAGGCTAGTGTAGAGAGCTACAGAGTCTTTTCTGTAGTGTTTCAGCTTGTGTTTAAATGCTACAGGTGGTTTTCTACTTTAAGCCATCATCGATAGTCCTTAATATTTCATAATGCTAAAAAGATAAGTCATTCTTGTGTTACCGTGTTCATGACCTCTGACCTATGGGCATATAACCAAATGCCTAAGAGCAAGTGTCCATGAAAACATTATAGGCATATAAAGGAAAGAAATTCTTTAACACCTTGCTATATCCCATTAACTATTTTACTGTTCTCTGAACTTGGGACAGCTCAGCAGTAAATGACATGCCGCAGAGGCCTTTGCCCAGCAGAAATGGCAGAATACTAGGTGTAAGCTTTCCTTTGCTTACGTTGGATGCATGCAGTGAGGCTGGCTTGTTTTTGGTCATTTCCTGTCTATGAACACTGGCCTTTAAGCCAACACTATTATAATAAAATATAATGCGTAAAATGAATCTCCACACGCATGAATGTTGTAATAGAAAATTCATAAAATGAGTTATTGTAGGACTCAGCACCACCTACTCGGGGGAAAAAAAAATCATCGGAAAGACGTGAAGCATTCATGTTCTGGCCTGTTTCTAAGAAGCCTGAAGGCAGGAAAGAAAAAAGTGTTCAGGCCCCTGGAATAGTGTCTTTTTGTTGGCATGTATGTGGACTGCATTTGGCCTGGCTCTTAAGAATTTGATACTTTACTGCATCAAGTCAACAACACCCCCACCACCACCTTTCCCTAGGTTGCTCCAGTAATTGAGGAGACAGGATATTTCCTGGGTGTCTCAGAAAGAGCTGTTTGAGTAGATGGTACTTGGAGTTGACATTAACCAATAAAGAACTTGAAGGTAGTTCACATTGGGGATCCTCCCGCCTGCCGCCACTTATTCATCTTTGAGTTGGAGAACACAGCAGTAAGCTTTATGTGAAACCAAGCCTGAAAATCATGGAGCCTCCACAGAAGAATCCTGACTTCCTCATGGTGCAGGTTCAGACTGAATACGGGTAGGAAGCTGGCTGGGCCCAGTCACTCCCTAGAAGTTGAAGGCATACCTACTTCTTTCTTCCCCCTCATTTTCTGTGGCCAATTAGCCATTAATTCCCCTTTTATCTTATCCTAAATACCTAGTGATATGCTGTCCTTCATTGATAATGGTCACAAATGTATTGTACTAACTTCAAGGCATGGTTTTATGCCTTTATTATTTCTGGTTTTCACAACACCTCTGAAAACATGGTGATATGAAATCACCATTTATAGACCAGGAACCTCAAACTCCAAAATCCAGAACCTTCTTGAGAGAGTGGCAGGTCAGGAGGTTTAGCCAAAGGCCATCCAATTTTATTGGCAATGCACCTCTCCTATAGTTACCGTGTCTTTCTGTTATGCCCTCTTGTGGGCTGGTTGACATGTCACCGGTTTTATTAATCTCTCTGCATCCACCCTTCCTCTCAAATCCTTCATAAAATAGATGTACTAATATGTCTGCAGGGGGTTCCTGAAGGCCGAGGGTGCCTGTGCTTCATCTGTGTATCCTGGCACAGGGACTTAGACCTTGTCTGACTCTTTGGAGTTATTTTACAAAGGCTCCAACTATGGCCTTCCTGCCTCTCTGCCCCCTCCCTCCCTCCCTTCCTTCCATTCTTGTATTTGTGCATATTTCTGGAGATTGAACCCAGGGCCTCAGACATGGATGTGCTCTATTTCTGAGCTAAATTCCAAGCTCACTAGATATGGTCTTTCCCTTTTTGTTTAAAACCCTTTTCTGTTCCTCATAGCTATGGGATAGTATCTGACTTTCCAGCTTCACTTTCCTCGCCGTTCTCCTGTCTGTGTTACAGTCCCGTGCTCCAGGGTTCCAGTCATACTGAAACTGAGCTCCCACCACTGCTCAGCATAGGCTTCTACCCCCCTTTTTCCTCGTGCCCCTTCTCTGCTTCTGGTGAAACACTGTACCCACGACTCAAGGGTCAGTTTAAAGGCTGCTTCTTTTTGAGACCCAGCTTCTCCCCCTACAGGGATTTGTCGTTCCTTTTTCTGTTTCCATAAAATAAGGTTGAAATACCCACTCAGTGACAATTAGCACATCATACTTAATGTCCATGCATGCATACCTTCTTTTAAATCCCCTATCCAGACTGGAAAATATTTGAGGGCAGGTATATCTTGATTTCTTTGTATGTCTCCAATGCCTAGCACAGTATGACACACACATAATCAGCTCTCTGCAAAATCCTACTGATTGGTTCAATGACATAATGAGGTCATTTCAGTTTAGAAATTATATGGCTTGCTTGTTAGGATTACCGCCATGGTATTTGGGGAAGTACATCTCCATAATTTGGCTTTACACGCAATAGTCTTGATATATCAAAAGGAAAAGGTGTATGTGCTCACTACTAATTGTCCTTATCAATACAGATGAGTTAGTCAGCTGTGCCGGAAGACTTTGCACAGAACTTTGTACATAGCAGCCTTCTGGGGGGTGTTTGATGAGTGAATAAATGAACTGATATGTGCATATCATGTCTCTAACTAAAAAGGATGGGACATACCTCTATCATTCATGCAAGGATGCTCTCCAACATCTAAACATTGTTCAGTGTTGCTTTCAAAATCATTTTATGGAAATTGAGCATGCCTTGTTAGGGAAGCAAATTAGTAAGCAGTGGCCTGAGGTGAGGCCAACCCAGCAGCCTCATCATTAACTGGCTTGGCCTTGCGTGTCCCGGGAACAGCTGCTCTGTGTCTTCCGGGGAAGGCCAAGGCTGGCTACAGCCCAGCAGCCACGTGTTTCCTTTGGCTCAGCTTCCTGACTATCTTAGAGCATCCTAACTGTAGGCTTATTTAGTTTTTCACTTTTTTTCCCAACAGCATGCTTACCAAAAGTGTACACAAAATAATAGCCTTATACTCACAGACTTTTTGCTTTAGAGTTTATATTCCTATTTTTTGATTTTTTGAGACAGGGTTTCTCTGCGAATCCCTGACTGTCCTAGAACTCACTCTGTAGAACAGGCTGGCCTCAAACTCTGAGAGATCCGCCTGCCTCTGTCTCCTGAGTGCTGGGATTAAAGGCGTGCGCCACCACTGCTCTGCTATATTCCTAATCTTTTACTCACATGGCAGAAGAAAAGTTAAACCACTCCTAAAAATGTGATATGGGACAAGATCCCGTCCCCGTGGGTTTGCTCGTCACGTTGGTATCTAGCTAATTCTCCATTGAATTGACATTAAGCCTACACTTTTCTGGCTGCTGTGGCCATGAGGCACCACCACATCAAATGACATTTTTTCCTATCATCTCTGACTGCATGTCTCTGTCTTCCCTGACTAGCCTTGTTAGCGCCTGCAGCGTGTCTGTGTCCTTCATTCTGTCTGTCTGCCCATTCTACAGCGCCCTATAGAGATTTAACAGATACCCCTGAAAGTCTTCGTGGTTTATTAATTCAAGAGATATTTACTGGGCACTGCTAGATGTTGGTTCCACTGTGGTACACGCAGCAGGATTGATGCACACAAGAAGCTCTGAGCAGTGAGCAGTGTTGCAGTATACTGCTATCGGTGCTGTTGCTGTGAGTTGTGTGCCATCCATACGTCTCCCTTTCAGTGCATCAAATGCTGACTGCTGTCCTCTGTGTCAGCAGGAATCATTCTGCTCTGCTTGCAAAGCACAATAGATGGAAGTAATTCTTTTCTAATTCTGTCCCGTTATTGGCTTTTACCTTTCTAATACTAAGCTAGTCCACACCACTACTCATGGGGTGTTTAATCATTGCCCCTCTTAATCTTTTGATATAAATTAAGGATTGCATTAAAAGTAATTGTGAATATTTTCTTAGTTGCATATTCACTTTGAATCACAAATGTCATTAGCTAATCTGCTCATGAATAGACAGGTGTGTAACAAACAGTTCACTGGTACCTGTGAAATAAATCAATAAACCAATGGGATAATCATCTGTCAGGCTTACTGTTTAACCCTAGCATTTAAAAACCATTGATGATCTTTCATAATTGATTAATATGTTGTAAAAATCCCATTAGTGGACCCGAGAGTCTCCAGATGAGAGAATATGCTCTTTAGCTTCATGAACTTACTATGTGGAGGAGGAAGCAAAATTGCCAACGTGTAATTATGATTACTCTGAGGCATGAAGCCCTGGATGGGTACCCAAGTCCCAGCTTGCTGTTCAGGGAACAGACAAGGGCAGAGAATAAACCCTCAGTGAAAACGCATGGAGCAAAAGTCAAGTGCTGTCCAAGTTTTGAACTGGAGCGGAACCATAACGTTACATTTCTATTTACAGAGCAAAATTTTTGAACTGGATCAAGGAGCTTTATTGATTCTCCACTTGCCACTCAGGTCGGCTTTTATAGTAGCATGGTTTCTGCTTTGGGAATAACACAAATGACCCTATCTGTAGAGTATCCAATATGATATTGTGTCTAAAGCATAATTTGTTTTTATCACTCTTGTTTCAATTTAGGAAGGAAGACTTGATTGATTTTTATTAATTACAACTGAACTATATGTTGATAGTTTTTTAGGGGATCAGACCATTCAAAAACAGAGTCAGTATTGCTCACTTAACTCAGTAACTAAGGCAGAAAATAGTTTATATTATACATTTTGCAAACATTTTATATTGTATTTTATAAATAATATTTTACAATGTCTTATGGAAATATATTTAAAATGTATTTATTTAGCTAGATTTATAAATTTGAAAAGTATATTTATATTAATATAAGAAGATCTCAGTGACATATTTAAGGTATATGAAATTATTATCTTTTATTAATATGATGAGTAATCTGGACTTGGGGGTGGGTTATTAATATTTTTCTTATTTTCAGCTAAAATACATGATTGGATGTTAATGCTAATCTTTCAGATAACCTAGTAAATTAATCTAAGGATACATAAACATGAAAACATGAGGGAGGCTGTGGTGGGGGGAATGGGGCCAGCAGGAGATGGTGGTGGTGGGGGAAGGAGGCTCAACAACAGTGAAGTGGAAAATGCTAATCAAGTAATCAAACCTGTTACTTTGCAAGCTAATTTTAAAAAACTGAAAAAAATTAATCTGTGGTGCTCTGGATTTGATTACAGAAATGGAGGTAATCAATATTAAACTGTAGAGTGCCTCCTACCATGCTGTCCTAGCCTGTTATTTATTTCCTTTGCATGCTCAAAACTTTACTTAAAAAAAGACTTTTGCAGGTCTCTAGACCCAGGGCTCAGCAGTGCGTTACAAGGCTTGTCGGTCACAGACACACACTTGGTGGAGATAGAAGGGGAAACCCTTTCCCTGTACGGCTCAGGGGCACTGGAATGCCTGGATCGGAACTGGAGTGTTCAGACAGCCAGCATGGTCACCACCGTCTCTTTCACATTCATTGAGTTTGATGAAATCGTCCAAGTGCTTCCCAAACTGAAGATGAAGTTTCCAAATTCTCTGGTAAACGCTTTCCTTTGGAAGTTCTTTGAATTGTTCTTCATTGTGCCTTGTGTACTCAGGCCAAAGCCTGATTCAGGTTTAGTTTCTGTAGTTTTTTATGTGCTGATCTCTGGCACTGGAATTTAAATTAGTTCCATAAATGCCCTTGCAGGTTTGTGTTAATATTAGAAACTGTATCTCTAAAAACAATCCTTGATGCAGTAGAAAAGACCAATGGAATTTTATGAGCATTATCTATTTCAGTTTTACAAAGAAGGCCACATAGTCCTATAGCATGTATTCAGGCATTGAAACTGGAATGGATGGGACATGTGTGTTTATTACATGATCTGAAACTGATATGGATGGAATATGTATATTCATTATATGATCTGTTGGTAGTCCTCTGACAGCACAGAAAAAAACCTCAGGCTGCTGACTCAGCTTCCCTGGCCCTGGGACGGCACTAGGAAATAGTCATGTACAGGGAGCTTCCTCTTGAGCTTTTCCCACAGTGAGTTTCTCTAGTCGTCCTTTTATGGTTTATGTGTTTTCCTTCTCCACCATCCCCAAAGAAGATAGGTAGCAATAGAAGCAGGTGTTTGGAAAGACTATCCAAGTTTGCAAAGAGACCATTTGCTTTAGTGTTTCTGTTTTAGTACTTTGCTTCTGCTTTGCTAATTTAAGTGACGACATAGTTTTCAGAAAGAGTATTGCCGATGCTAGTCCTCAGGACCAGGGTGAGTCCTTAGACATTTCTGAAATGTTCCATTCCTTCCTTTATACATTAATGTTAATGCAAAATGTGTAGAATAGGTAAATCCTAAAAGAGTCTGGATTATTTAGTATTTAGATAACTCTAAGAGATCCTGGTTGTTGAGGATGTTCCTTGCAGAAGGGATCACCCAAAACTCAGTTTTGTATAGATGCCATCAATGGTTGATGGATTAGGCACATTGAAGTTAAATGAACTTAGAGCATTCCATTGGTTTAATGTGGCTGAAAATGTATTTTCTAAGCCTGAAACTTACAGAGTTCCATGGGAAATGGTCTGCAACATGTTGATGTTGGTATTTAAGGTGTTTAAACTCCAAGCGAAGACATTGTGTTTTGTTTGGTATTGCAGCACCTTAAATTCAAGGAGACCAATCTTGTAATGCTGCAGCAGTTCAATGCCCTAGCACAGCTTCGTCGGGTTGACCAGTTGACAATTGATCCTCAGGGAAACCCAGTGGTCAACTTTACACTCTGGAAATACTACGTGCTGTTTAGGCTCAGCCACTTGGGCATGCAGAAAATAAATGGAACAGAGGTAAGCAGAAGCAAACAGACTGTAGAATGAGCTTCCACTTGATGGCCCTCGATGGAAATTAATTGTGATATGTGATTAACTGTGCAGAAACACTGTTTCTTAAAATAAAATCACAGCATTCAGAGTATTAAAAAGAAAAATAACCATATACAGGCAACCCGTGTGCATACATGCACACATATGCATACACACTGCACACTCACACGCTCACACTCATGCCCACAAGCACTGCATCTGACACAGTGAACAGATGTTTTTTTTCCTGGTGAATAGTAACTACTTTTCCTGATGTTTGTGAGCATTCAGGGAAATAGAACTTTGAAAGAAAATGACATTTTCAAAAGAAAAAAATGCTACTTTTGTAGGTAAGGCAAACTTTTATCTTTCAAAATGCTCTGCAGACTACGGCATACAAAGGAGGACGGGAATCAAGCTAGTGTCCACTAATAAAGAAGTGAGGAATAAAGTAGAAAGAGAAAATTTCAGCTCACATCTGGACTGCTCTATTAATAGTTGTCATGGCTGCTGTAGCATGGTGTGGGATAACACAGGTCTGAGCTGAATAACTGGAAAATTATTAATGGAAAGCTATTTTTAGATTGGTTTTTCTGAGTTTGTCCCAAGGCTAATCCCCCAGCTACTCAAAGACTGTGTTCTCGTTAGATATTAATTTGGGGCGGAGGAGAGGAAACTATGCTTCTATCACTATTGAAGCTAAATAACCTCACAAAGGGAAGCCATCTTCAAACTGTTGTTAGTCTCATTGTGGTGTTCATTGAGGTTCCGAAGACTTCCCTATTAAGATGAACTGTAGTCTACTTTGCTGGCTTAGTATTGCTTCCCAACTAGGACCCCACAGCTCCCTCTGGCCAGACCTGCTAAAACCCAGCATATTGTTGGTAACGTGGAGATCTGCAGGTCAGTGTCAAAAGCAGCCATACCATACCTCCACCATAATAGGCCCAGGGCCTTGGTGTCAGCCTTCTGTTAAAGTACCAGGAAAGCCTGGAACCTTCAGATGACTGACAGTCCCCCTGCTGGTTACGGGAGTCTAATGCAGACTTGTGTGCCCTTCAGCACTGCATGGGACAGAACTTGTAGCTCTGGTAGGGTCTGGTAATTAGCTAGAGGGTTTTCAGAATGAGTCTGGAAATACAATACGCAGGTTCTTTGGAATGTGGGTGAAGGCTTCTTCCTCATTAATGGCTACTGGGTGTGTTAATTAGCTGTAAGCAGTGATTTACCCAGCTGTTGATGTGCGTTACTATGCAATTACGACACCCTAAGAAGTATTGTAATTGTACAGGGGATTAAACAGAACCAATGCTATGTTCTAGTATAGCTTTTAGAAACTCTGAGTGTCATGGTTGTTTGATATTTTATTAAAACCCTAAAGGATTTGCCTGCCCCCTCAGTCTTTCCGTCTTATACCATATATGCTATGTTTATACCTCCCCTTCTGTAGCAGAGTGGCGGGGCTAGAGGTAGAATTGAATGATGAGCAGCGAGAAGATGGAGCAGTGGCCTGAGTTGGCCACTAGGTGACTGTGTTGGACCAGAGAATTTAGTTGTCAGCTAAGGAAAGGCTTCGAGGAGCCGCATCCCTAATCGTGAACGTCCAGGATAGGGGAGAACTAGTCTACAATGATGTGAATATAGTGTGTATGAATCGTATGTGAACTGTGGGGTTATCGTCAGAAGATGCTTCTGTCATATATCATCACAAGTACACACACACACACACACACACACACACACACACCTGCTCTTGCAACACTGGAGAGGCTGGAACAGGCAGTTTGCTGAGAAACCCTGTCTTATGGTCTCATGGTGCCAAAAGGCATGGGACATTGTAGAGATGGTTCAGTCTGAAAAGTATGAGAACCTGGGTGTAGATCCTCCAAACCCATGTAAGAACTGGGCCTGGCAGCACATATCTGGAACCCTAGAGCTGGGTAAGACAGAGAAGGGAAGGTTGTGGAGGCTTCCTGGCCAAACTGTCTGCCTGAGAGTGCAAGCTCCAGGCTGAATGAGAGCCTGTCTCATAGACAGCAGATGGAGAGCGGCACGGGAGACACTCTGTGTGTGTGCATTAGTGAGCACACATCTACACACGTGAGCACACACACCTACACCACACACATACACTCTCTCTAAACAAATAAGTAGATGGAGACCTCTTGGTTGCTTTTTTGTTTTGTTTTTAAATCTAAAACTGCTCACACGAAGACAAGGGTTTTCTCAACGTCTGCTCTGCTTACACTGGCACAGATAACCATTGTGGCAGTTCTCTTGTGCGTTTAAAACACTTAGCAGCATCCCTAGCTCTGTGCACTAGATGTCAGTATCACCCCTAACCAGACCAAATGTTGCCAAGTAGTCCGAGGAGACAGCATGGTCCTGGTTGGTAAATCAAATTTCACTGTGTAGAAAAGCCAACTGTATTGGAAATGCAGGCTACCCTGTTTTATATTAACTCTTTAAAATCCATATCTTTAATGTCATGATAATAGAACTAAAAATATTCTTTAAGAGAACAGGGAAATGGCTCATCTGTTAGAGTGCTTGCTAAGCAAACAAGAAGATTCGAGTTTGGATCCCCAGAATCCACATAAATACCACCTGTTATTCCAGTCTCGGAGGCAGAGGTGGGATCCTGAGTAATACGGCTGGGAGAGTGTGTGTGTCAGTGAACTCTGGGTTTGACTGAGACCCTGCCTCAAAATGTAATGTTTTACTGATATCAGCCTTGGACCTCCAGAGGTGTGTGCACGTATGCACACACGCACGTGCACACACAGCCACATGCACAGGTGCCCACACACCTGCAAACATCCATACATACATGCATGCATACCACACATACACAAACATGAATAAAGAAAAAGAAAAACATCCTGTAAGGATTTAAGGTACCTCAAGCACAGTCCTGAGGAATCATGAGTTCTAAGTTCAGAGCTGACTGGCCAGCCCCCAGTCAGCTTCCAGGAGTCACATTTGAGCTTCTCCTTTGTAAGTGGTCTCAGGAAAAAGCAGAATCTCAGTGAAGACTCCTGTAGAGGCCAGGGAAGGGTCTTTTTCTGTGCTAAAAGAAAACGTGGAATCCAGACATTTCTTTGGAACTGTGTTTGTTATACGAAGCTAAGAAGCAATGTCATTGTTGACCCTTCTCTGCCATTTCTCCTCAGGTGACACACAATGATTTGATAATGGCTGAGCGGCTCTTTGGAATCCTGGCCCATGTGGCATCTTCCGAGTTGCCTCAGTACCGCATGATCTCAATTCTGGGGGATGCCAGGTAAGCCCGAATTTTTAGATTGTACTTGCACTAGAAGTGCTCTCAGCTGTGCACTAGAAATGCTCTCAGCTCTGCACTGTGTGTCGTGCAGACAGTGCAGCCCAGGCTTAGCTTGTCCCTGGCCCTATTTAAACTGAGTCCTTTTTCTCCTGTGGTTATAATCGAATATGTAGTTGTAGTCTAATAATAGCTAAAGTGCACATAAACAATTAAAATATGATTCTTTGGGTGTAGCAAGAGGGCTGGGGTAGAGACTAGCTATGTTTGAGAACACTGGGAAGGGCTTCCTGTTTAATATACTTCTCTGGGAATGAGTAGGGGATTTTTAGGTTTAGAATATGGAGTAAGAGATCAATTTTTAAAAAGGAATTATAAACAGAACAGTTTGGTTATGAATTCAAATCTTACTCAAGCACATTTTATTGATCAATGTAAATCTCGTCTACAACCCACTGAACTGTTGTGACGTAAAAGCATCCTGAGGTAAAGTGCTTGCTGAATAACCTTGAGGGCCTGGCTCAGATCCCCAGGACCCATGTAAGAGCTGGGTATGGCAGCATGTGTCCAACCCCAGAGTCGAGGAACAGAAGCAGGCAGAGTAAGAGCTCGCTGTCCATCTGCAAGGGCAACCTCCAGAGAGCCTGTCTCAACATAAGATGAAGAAGCAACTGAGGAAGACATCCAGATGTCAACTTCTGGCCTACACATACAACACACGCACTCACACAACGCACGCATACACGTGCACACACACACACAGATGCACTCAGGTACACACACACACTCTCACACACATACACACACATCATCCCCCCTTACATAAATATACGAAAATACTTGAGGGGTGTACAAAAATCTTGAGGAGGAGGTATTGAATTAAGAAGTGATAGTTTAGATAGAAATCAGTGAAAATTATACTCTTCTGAATAAATATTCAGATTAAAAATATTCAGAATAAAAAGTCAGATTGTGAAAAAGTATCCAAATGTGTATGGGATGTTTGCAGAGGCTGAATGCATCTTCAACTCAAAGAAAATCTCTGTGTATTTAAAGGCCGTATTCGTACAGGTCATTGTCTCCGATCAGAATTCTGCAGAAGTTAATGAGATGCAGTGAGTTAGGAGCATGGAGGTGCAGCTCTGTGGTAGCAACAGGAGCACATAGTCAGCATGGCATGGCTGGCCCAGGGAGTCAGGGGAGCTGAGGAGGCTGTGTTGCTAAGGAATTGAGATAGCCAAGAACTTACCTTGGTGCAGTGGGAAAATAACAAAAACCCAGACAATAAAGTTACCAAAATATAAAATATAGGAGACTTTAAAATAAAAATAAATAAAATTTAAAAAAAGAGCCCATTTGACTCCATTCAATGCTATAGCCATGCAAGTTTTAAAATAATGAACTACCTTTGTGGGTGTAACTTATGCTCTGTAGTCAGGTGGGTCCTACGTGCTAAGCAGTGATGGCCAGTGCTGTGGTTCTTTTCATAGCAACTCACTGCTACCTAACGTGTTTTCAGTGGCCATGTCTGTTGACTAAAGCTTTTCACTGAGCAGAATTCTTTCTAAACATTATATTACATGAACATGAATATATGTCCAAGGATATCCGTCACAAACTGTTTCTGTAACAAAATAGTGAATGTACATTAGTAGAACAAAACCAACTACTTGTAACTTCAAAAATGATTAGCAGTTCCTATATGAAACTGTTTATCTTTGATTCCATACAACCTAGAATCACTTGGGAAGAACGACCCTCAATTGAAGAGTTGCCTGAATCAGATTGACCTGTGGCCATGTCTGAGAGATTGCCTAGACTGATGATTGATAGGAGGAGGTCACCATGCATACAAGAAAGCTAGCCGAGCTAGAGAACAAACCATTTAGTGTTGTTCTTCCATGGCTCCTGTTTCCAGGGTTCAAGTCTTAAGTTCATGTGTTGGAGGAGGCTGCTTGTTTGTTGGATCCCAGCTGTCCAGCCCTGAAATAATCCCACAGAAACTGTATTAATTAAATCACTGCTTGGCCCATTAACTCTAGCTTCTTATTAGCTAACTCTTACATCTTAATTTAATCCATTTTTATTAATCTATGTATTGCCATAAAGACTGTGCAGACCATAAAGGCCAAATAGTCTGGTAGGACTATATGACTTCTCCTGACTCCACCTCTCAGCATTCAATTTAGTTCTCCCACCACCACCTAAGTTCTGCCCTGCTATAGGTCCAAAGTAGTTTCTTTATTCATTAATGGTAACCACAGCATATAGAGGGGAATCCCACATCATTCATGTCCAAACTGGCCTCAGATTGAGACCTGGGTGTGGAAGCCAAATAAACCCTTTCCTTCCCAAAGATGCTTTTGGCCATGGTGTCTGTCACAGCAAAGAAATGGAACTAGAGCAGGAAGCATCAAGCGTAGGACAGTTGTGTGGCAGGTTCCAATTTTTGAGAAATAGGGTATATAGTTCAGAAATAATCGGTATACTTTTTAAATATTTGTTTTTAGTTTTTTGGGTTTTGTTTGTTGTTTTGTAAAAGATCAATTATCTGTAAGTGTTGAATGGGAAAATTGGGCCAAAAGCATGCAAAGTATAAAGATTTTTTAATTGCATATGTGTGTGTGCTGCTTGAATTCTTTTTTAGTTTTTGTTCTATTTTTATTGCTCTTTTTGAAATATTCTCATTTTTCAAAAGTATTTTGGAAGTCCTCTCTTTTCTTACTGATTTTTAGGTTAGTATACAAAGTAGTGGGTCCTGTTCCAACATTTTTGTGCTGTGTGTCATACTGTACTTTAAGTGTATTTAAACTCTTTTGAACTGAGGAAGAAATTCAAGCTGAAATACTAAATATATGAGTGCATATAACATCTAGAACTCTGTGGGTTATGGCCAAAACTGCACTGAGAGGAAATGACGTACATGTCTTTAGTGTGTTTACTAAAAGATGAGGACGACTAGAAAGTGATGAAAGAGACTTCACTTTGAGAACCTAGAAAAATCCCTAAGTAGCCAGGTGGTGGTAGCGACCGCCTTTAATCTCAGCACTCTAGAGGCAGAGGCAGGAAGATCTTTGTGAGTTCGAGGCCAGTCTGGTCTACAAAATCTAGTTCCAGGACATGCCCCAAAGCTACAGTGAAACCCTGTTTTGAAAAACCAAAAAAAAAAAAAAAAGTAAAGAAAAGAAAGAAAGATCCCTAAGTAAAGCAAAAACAAGTGGAAGGATGCAGAAAGGCAACATAACATAACATCTGCCTGAGCGCAAATCTAGCTGTCCAGCGACTCACTGTGCTCTTTACACAAACATTTCCTAAAATGCACGCTGAGCAAAATTGTGATTTGCATCACAACTTACTTCCATTCAGTCACAGGAATTATCATTGTCTTGAAATATGTCGAATGCAAACACTAGATGTTTATATAGAATTATGAGCTGTAGACTATTTCCTTATACTTTTCAAAATTTATACTTCTCCAAATTTCTAAAAATACATCAACATACTTTTAAATGAGAAAAAAGAAAAAAAGTTTAAATTTTTTCTGTTCCAAGAGAACAAACCATTTAGTGTTGTTCTTCCATGGTTCCTGTTTCCAGGGTTCATGTCTTAAGTTCATGTGCTGGAGGAGGCTGGATGGGACTCTGGGCGACAGCTCTGTGATGCTTCTGCTTCTTTGGTGTGTCCATTTGTACCCCACAGTGCCTCTTGCCATCACGTGGCCTCCTGCCAGCACCTGTGGGTTTTTTGCTGTTTTCCGTTTTGATTTTGCTGAAATTAACTCCACACCCAATTTGATTTTCTAGCTAGGAACACAGCTCAGGCAAATAAAGGAACTGTGAGCTATGAATGTGGTTATATGAGCAAACTAACATACCTTATAGCTATAAAGACTGTGTGGCTCGGTTCTTCGCACCTTTAATTGGCTTAAGCTTTGATTCACCTTTTGTATTGTTTCCTGTTGAGGTAGAGTTCTTTTCTCGTTGTAGAAATGTTTGAGATTGTTAGTGTTGATGATCAGCAGTCACAGAACAAAAGGCTGTGGTGGGCTCAGCGCATGTCACAAGCCTATAAACCTAGTTCTCAGGAGGCTGAGTCCATAGGAGTGGGAGTTTAAGTCTAGCCCGAGCTACAATAGTGAAACCGTGTCTCGAACAAAGCAAATAATGTGTATCAAATACCTTAATTAGTTGAAATACTGGGACACTTACTGCTCAGACTCACAGATCTGCCATTTAACAAAACGTGTACTCCCTCTGAAGTCAGCAAAAATTTCACACAATCTCATAAGTAACTCTGAGCCCATTTACCGTCTTCTGCAGGAAGAAGCAATTCCGATACCTAATAGAAAGCAAAGGTAAAAAACCTGGCATTATCAGTGAGGAGACCAGCGACAGCAAAAGGCTCATGGGAGAAAGCACAAATCGTGCTACCCTGAATTATACCACCAGAGAATTCTACCACGAGAAGCTGGAGGTACAGTACATGTCTGTGGTCTAGCGCCTCCTGCAGTCCATGCTCCATGGGACTGGAGGTTGTCCTCCTTCACACAATGCTGGGCCAGTACCAGCGGGGACTGGGGGACTGGGAGGTCAGCAAGCCTGCAGGTGAGAGCCTCTAGTCCAGTGTCTGTCTCAACACAAAGGCCTGTTCAGAAGAAAGCTGGGCCAAAAATCCAAACTAAAATAGGGCCCACAGCTCTGATCTGCCTAGATTAAGAGAAAAGGCGAGAGGCTTCCACCATGGGTGTTTAGCCAGAGTCTCCACTCCAGAGCGCTTGGCTTAGCTTGTGGTGTTTAGTTATGCACTGCACTCTGCCACTCATTTCCCAGTTGTATGTATGGCTGCTTCCTTCCCAGCAGAGCTTCTTAGCCAAAGAGCGTGGAACGATCATGCGCTTCTTATGTGAGCTTTATTGAGGGGTTACAGCATTGCCATGGTGGCCAGAGGCACAGGAGGAGAAAGTGTGCAATGCCGGCCTTGTTAGCAATCACCGACTAGCCGAACAAGTGTGTCACCTAAACAGCAGGAGAGAACCATGCTGCGGCAGTTGTGAGGTGGCAGAAGACAAAAGGGCAGGCACATCTATTTATTGAGCATCTAATGACATGTATGAGGTACCACATGAGAGCTATTTAAATCTCTACAGTTCTGACAAGTTAGATATAAACAGAGAGATTGACAAACGTGTGTATAAACTAAAAGTAGAACACCAGGCTTATACGTGTTTCCCTGTCAGCTCTAAACTCTGTATTAAGGAGTGGCTAAAAAGCCAGGTCACCTAACAGCAGAGTGTGCTAGAGGAAGAGGAGTGGGGAGGGTCAGCACTTGCTTTAAGTGCAGCTTAACTAGATCTTCTGTTTTCCCGATTTCCCTTCACCCTGCTCTCAGTCTGAAGCATCTTTGGAACCCATAGACGCCTATGGATAACAGCTTGAGGATCTTTGGCAACACATCTAACACTTTCAGCAGCATCCTGAAGGGTGTTTAGATTCTGCCTCAAGTTCTGGTAATGGAGGCCAGGGAAGCTCAGTGCTGCACTTGCCTGAGTGCACAGGGCCACGGGTTCATTCCTGGCATCTTGCATTCTCATATTCTCTCTCTCTCTCTCTCTCTCTCTCTCTCTCTCTCTCTCTCTCTCTCACACACACACACACACACACACACAATCAGTGTTCTATAATCCAACAGTGTCAAATGTGAAGAAGGTAGGAAAAGGTCGAGAGCATGACTGTCACCTAATAAAGACTTTGTGGTTTTGCCAGACAAGGAAAACGAAAGCTCAGCTGGCAGAATTATGAGCCCTTTTCCTAAAGTCCTGTGAGTCAGAAATTAACATATATGCTTAGAAAGTCTAAATATACAAATTCTCGTGAAAAAAAATTAAATAAATATATATATATATAATTGCTTTGTGCAAACAGGGATAATTTGATGAGGAAGCCTAGCAAGTTGGTAACCTCAAAAAACAGATCGTTCTGTTTTTTAATTTTTAGCTTGTTGAGGGATGTGAGGGATGTTAAAGACAAGAAAAACTTTTGTTTTTTCAAGGTAGACAGCACAACATTAACTCCAAAATCCACCAAAATTGCTAGGAAAAGAAAAGCTAAGTCAGATACTTAGAAATAGTGATGCAAAGATCCTGTTAAGATACTAACTTAGAGCTGGTATTTTAAATAAAATGAGAGTCAGAAGTTAGGATTGTATATTGTTTTTGCAGAGGTCCTGAGCTTTGTTTCTGGTACAAACCACTTTTAGGTCCAGCTCCAGGGTATCAGATGTGCTCCCCTGGTGTCTGTGGGCATTGCAATCCCATGTACAAACCCAAACCACACAGGGGGAGGGGGTTAAAAATGAAGAAATAAAATAAAAAGCAGAGTACAGAAGAATATTAAATGAATTATATACCTTACAACCATTGTAGAAATAAATTTAAAATAGGATACTATTTACTATAAAAATAAGCAATCAACTGATATGCTATGGCAATGCATAAAAATATGTATAAGCTAGGGCCAGAAATCACCTTAGTCAGCAAAGCGTTCGCCTCACAAGCATGAAGGCTTGAGCTTGGATCTCCAGAACAGTGTTCAAAGCCTGGTATGGTGGTGTGCACCTGGAGTCCCAGCACTGAGGAGGCAGGGGTAGGAGGTTTCTGGAATCTCTTCACCAGCTAGTCTCTGAATCACTGAGTTCCAGATTCAGTGAGAAACCGTGCCTCAGAAAGTAAAGCGAAGAGCACTAGAGGAGAGCACGTGACATCGACCTTTGGGATCGGTATTCGCACAGACACACACGCATGCCCTTTAGTGGGGGAAACTGAAATTGTGTTGCAGGTCACTAAAGAGCTGAGAAGTTTATATTCATAGACAAAGCACTCTGTGTTATAAAATGAATATAAGGCAGTTCCAATTCAAGTTTGTACAGAGTTACTGAATCCTAAGAGTTATCAGATTCAACCAGAACCTTCAGTATACAGAGGTGCTGTGCCAGATGCCGGGTAGCTATGGTAGGGGTCTGTGTCCTAGTTAAGGCTTTGTTGCTGCAGTAAAACACTGGCTAACAGCAACCTGAGAGGAAAGGGGTTATTTCTTCTTACAGCTTTTAGTTCTTCATCCAGGGAATCGGGGCAGAAACTCAAGGCAGGAAAATGGAGGCAGGAACTGAACAGAGACCATAGAGGAAGACTTCTTCTTGACTTGCCCCAGCGGCTTCCTTAGTCTGCGTTCTTATGTCACCACAGCAACCATGGGTGACACAGCCCATGATGATCTTGGCCATCCCATGTCAATCATTAATAAAGAAAACGATCTGTAGACTTGCCTATAGACCAATCTAACAGGCATTTTCTCAGTTGAGATTCTTGTTCCCAGGTATCTCTGGGTTGTGTCAGGCTGACAAGAACCAACCAGAGCAATGTCACCATGAAGCCAAGGCAGGACTAGACAAACTGGACAACAGCCAGAGTGACATTGCGTGTGTATGGGAGACTTAGTCACACAGCAGCCATTACAAACTGGTGGGGACAGTCTACTTCATAAATAATGCTGAGGGAAACATACTGAACCCATCTGTATATACAACAAAAAAATAACTTCAGACCAAATAAAAGTCAAAGTATAAAAATTAAAACTTGTAACTTCTTAGTTTTAAAAAAGAGGAAATCTTAGGGCCTTGGTTAGGGTGACTTTGAACACTCTAAGTGACTGATTATACAGGGAGATTTTTCATAAATTTGGCAATCAAGGTCATTTGTAATGGAAATAGCTTCAGCAGAATCAAGCAAACAAAATCTGGATTAAAGTGACGTGATCGATAAAAACGCAATGAGGAAGTAACCCGAGGAGATGCGGGCTCCTGTTCTGAGAAAGCTCGAAGGCAAGGGAGAAATCTGAAGCCACGTGACACTTTGGGACGTGCACCAAGCTAGCAAGAGACTTGGCCTTGAGCCCTGATTACCACTTATTACCTGGGAGACCTTGCCCAAGTCCCTTAATCACTGTCTCTTGACTCCCAGCCCAGCATTCCTTCTCGTCCCCCCAGCACCCCACATCTTGAAAAGTACTTACACAGTGCAGCAGCAGGGCCGTCTCTCTCCTGTGCTCACTGAGTGCCTGGGAAAATAAATGGAGGTGAGTTGCTCACAAATCAGGCTAAACAGTCCCTTTCATTATGTGTCCTGTTGCCTGAGGCTCGCCCATCCATCCATTCTCCTGCCTCATCTAAAAGAGATTTAAGGGACTAAAGAATCCAGTTCTCCTCTTAGACAGGCGAGGAAAACCGGAAGCTCAGGAATTGTTTAGGGTCACCTAGTGAGTTCCTGAAGGCCACAGGGGGAACTACCACCTACTGGGTGCCTAGCCTGGGTTCTCCTATTTCCAGTGCTTCCTGAAGACAGCCTGACAGCCTAGTTCAAGGATTCCCTTCCCTCGACACTGGCTGGTTGCTCACTAACCCTTTCATTCGGCAGTGCTATTACTTTTACTAATTAATTTAATTCATCTTAGAGTGTTTATGTTTTGAGTTTGAAGTTTAAATGGGTCTTAAATTTCTTGTCAACATTTAACCTTCAAAATAAATACTGTGTGTGTGTGTGTGTGTGTGTGTGTGTGTGTGTGTGTGTGTGTGTGAGTATCAGACCCAGGGCCTTCAAGCATACTAGACTAAAAACTTCAACACTGAGCTATCCCCCAATCCCAGTAGATAACTTTCTTAGCATCCTTGATGAAGTTGGAGCTGATACCCAAATGTCCTCTGGCTCCAGCACACCCTGATGTGTTTAGAAGCAGCTTCTCATCTTCAGGCTGCCAGGCCCAGAAGCTGGGCAAGGGTGCTGCTCTTTCGAAGGCGTGGTGTGTCCAAAGCTTGTGGTAGTTCTTCCTTTTTAGGCACTTTTCTCAAACTGTGTCCAAATAGTCTGGGCTGCAGTGTGACGTTCTGTCTGTCTGTCTCTGACTAGAGAGAAACGCAAAGGCTGAGTATAAGGGTTCTACACGGTAGCTAACCCAGACTCCTTAGCAGGGTTGGCATCGGCGCCCAACCCTTACTCCTCTGCAAAGCACCACTCAACCGACACAGAGGCCTGCAAAGAAATGAGGCCTTAGTTACTGCCTGCTGAAGCAGAACTCTCCACCAGGAGCTGCTGGGGAAGAGTTACTAGCCCAAAGACACAGGACAGGAGAGGCATGGGTGTGCACAGTAGGTTATTCCAAGCTTCTCTGACTTGATTAATTATTGTTTTGGCTTTTGAAATAGTTATGACTTAATGTCATTTTTTCATAACAGGAGATAAAGGACAAGAAGAAGTTCTGCAAGATGTATGTGGAAGACCTCGTGAAGGAAGCCACAACAATCAACATGAAAAACGAGGCTCTGCAGAAGCTGTGGCCGCAGATGTTCATTGAGCTGGTCAGAGACGCCGTCATAGAAATCCGCAGCAAGGATTCCTACATGAAGCTCTGCCTGCAGCAGATCACTGACCAGAAATAGGGATGGCTCCTACTTCTGGTTGATTCGAGCAATTTTTTAAAGTTTGGCAAGATGCAGGTTAGGCATGTTGAGACAACACCACTGTCCCACAGACTAGAAAGGGTGGCATCTCGCCTTGCTACCCACACTGGCGAGAAAGGAGGAAGGCAGGAGAGAGGGAAGACTCTTTTCCTCTGCATGCTGACCACACGCTTGGGAAACCAAGTGGCCATGGGAGGAGGCCTGTCTGCTGGGTCAGAATGCTTCTTCACCTCCCACTCTGACTGGTGCGCCTGCTCCAGCCCCAAGCACGCAGTGTGTGATGACAGGCTAGCATGACTTGCTTCTCCCAACCTCCATCCGAGACTTTTCCCCCTTTTTTGCCTTTTTATTTTATGTCATGATTTCAAAGCCAAGCATATGTTCTTTCTTATGAGTGAAGAATAAAAACATTAGTTAAAAAAATCAAGTCCAGTGTCTTATGTGGTTATGTTCCTCTTCTGTTTGTGGGATGCCTGCTATTCAGCTACCTCTATGGAAAGAGGCCTGTTCAGGTACCTCAGGGTACTACAGGGACCCACTGTGGGCTGAAAATGTGAAGACAGTTGAGCACAGGAAGAGGATGCTTAGCTTTCAGGACTCTGGGGAGAATGAAGGTGCAGCTAAAGTGCTTCTCTGAGAGGCATTTCCTTCTTACACGCATGTGTACTCATCCTTCAGAAATATTAGGGATGGGTAGAAGAGTCTAGGGTTTTTGGTTTTGTTTGTTTTTTTGTTTTGTTTTGTTTTTGTTTTTTGGGGAGGTTTTCAAGATAGGGTTTATCTGTAGCTTTGGAGCCTGTCCTAGGACTATCTCTTGTGGACCAGACTGGCCTTGAACTCATAACTCCACCTGCCTCTGCCTCCCAAGTGCTGGGATTGAAGGCATGTGCCACCACTGCTTGGCTAAGATTCTAGTTTTTAAATTCAGTTTGAAAACTCAAACAAGTAAGTAAGACAATGGGGGGGGGGTGCCATAGTAAAAGGAGTGGCGGGCTGCGTTCCCTGCTAGTTTTACACCCGAAATAATTACATAGAAACTGTATTCATTTAAACACTGCCTGGCCCATTAGTTCTAGCTTCTTATTGGCTAATTCTCACATCTTGATTAACCCATTTCTAATAATCTGTGTTGCACCACAAGGTGCTGGATTACTGGGAAAGATCCTAACCTACATCCGTCTCTGGTCGGAGAATCATGGTGTCTGCCTGACTCTGCTTTCTTTCTCCCAGCATTCTGTTCGGTCTACTCTGCCTATCTAAGCTGCTGTGCTATCAAAAGACCAAGGCAGTTTCTTTATTTGACCAATGAAAGTAACATATAGACAGAAGGCCCTCCTACTCCAGAGGGGTTTGGGCCAGTCCATTCTGGTAAGAAGAATGGGCGATACAACCTCAGGAAGCCGATCCTACAGGACAATAAGGGAACTCGCTAATGTGCTCAAATTTACCTAAGAGCAATTGTGTCAGTAAAAACACTAGATGTGGGAGAAAAAGGCAGGCAGAGGCCCAGGAGGAAGCTGAGTGCGACTATTGCAGTTCTAAGAGAGACCCTGGGCTCTCTGTCAGCCCCTTCCACCCAGAAGGAGTGTTCCAGCTTAGTGGCTCATGTGATATTTCTGAACATAGGCTTTTTAGGTCACTCTCTGGGTTAATATTTTGGCATCTGACCCACTTGACCCTCATTTTCCTCATTGTATTACAGATCCAATAAGGGTAAACCATTTCCTTCTGGTCAAGAGAATGGACTCTACCCCTGGCTTGGATGGAGACCCAGGACTCCTCTGGACTGTCAGTCACCAGGCTAAGTGACCACCCTTCAGGGAAATGGATTCACCTTAAGTCATGCTAAACAGATGGGAGGAATAATTATTCCTTTGACGAGAATTACCTGGAAAGGTGAAAATCTTTCCTTTCCTTCCATCTCTCCAGTTTCTTAGACATTGGACTTTCTCCCATGTGTCTGCCAGGATCTACCTTCCAAGCTCATTTTGCTTACTAGAGTTCATGGGTGAGAATAATCACCTCAGAATAAAGGGCCACCAGGTGAGCCAGAGTCCTCTGTTGGGGGTGAGTAGAGACCCGTGCAACAAATTTCTCTTGGGATTTCCAGGAGTTTGAGATTAGGAGAACAGATGACAGACCCCTGCCCCCAGTTACTATGTGCCAAAGGGTCACCTTGCTATTAATGTGATCTCAAGCAGAAATTGAGCTTGTGGTTACCCCTAAAGTAGAAACACCCAGGCTCCCCTCTTTAGGGAAATACCACAACCATCCATGTTCACCTTCAGCCGTCAGCTCCAGGGTACTTACAGAGTGTGCCTTTGGACCTAAAGTTACTTAACTGCCCTAGGCCAAGGATGGAGCTGGTGTCAGCTTCCCACTCATGGTGCTTCACTCCGCTGAATGCCTGGTGTGTGGACAGATCAGGTCAGGGGCTACTCCAAGGTGCATATTCTCCTTGCTGAATGATAAAGACCACGACAACCAGGATGCCTTGAGCAGTGTTGCAGATTGCTCAAGGGCCATGGCAGGTACCCTCTCATTTTCACCAACACTTTAATACACACATTCTGGTCACACCTATCTGAACAACTGAGGCCAAGAGAGGTCCAGCAGCTCAGCCAAGTTTATTTCAACCCCAAACTAGAAGGCAAGGCCTCCATTCACTGTCAAGAAAAGTCATGCGTATGCTACATTATTTATTGTTTGGGTCGCATTTATTTGTTTATTGTATATGTGTGTATGTTTACACACACTAAGGTATGCATGTAGAGGTCAGATGAGAACTGGTGTTAGTCTGTTCTCTCCTTTCATCATGTAGGTCCCAAGGATTAAACTCAGGTCATCAGGGTTGATGCCAAGCACCTTTACTAGCCAAATCATCATTAGAGTAAGCTTGTTGCTTGTGGTCTTTTTGAACTGCTTTTATGTTTTGTTGTGTTGAGAACTTAAAACAGAATTTTCCCATTTGTCTATTTCTATAGAACACTGAAGGGCATGAAGTATAAAAACTAACATGAAATATGTATGAGCACATGCACATTGCTATGTAGTAAGTCTTTATAGAAAGTGTAAGAATACTAGCCATGTTCTTACCCTAATGTGTGCCTAATCAGCCTGAGGTGTCAAGTGTCAGAATGGACTCAGGGATGCCATGTTGGGTGGGCACTGTACCCATCTAGGAAAAGACAGAGGTGAATGCAGATGGCAGTGAGTGAGAGGCCTGTGGGGAAGTGGTTGCGCTTGGATTCATTTTAGAGGCATGATTGGTGGGATGTGGGGTAGGAGAGGCAGGATGAATAACAATACTAGGGGCTTGACGGGCAAACGAGGAGACCCACGAGCTATTCACTGCGATGAGAGACTGTGGTGCTTGGAGAATCTGTCCAGAGGAGGAGCAGATGGTGGCCAAACATCCAAGTGCACACCTACAGTGCGAGTGGTGACAGGAAGTGCAAGGCAAGTGGAGAAGCATGCATTGAACTAAATTATAAAATGTGGAGCCATCAGCATTTAGCAACAGGTGTTACTTTTATATTAAGATAATTAGTGTGCTTGTTTTTCTTATATTTCTTAATGTAGTCACATCTCTGTTTTAGGCTTTCTTTGATTATAACTAAGTTTATTTAGACTTGGTAATCATGCACATCTTCCTATATTTTGTGTGATGTGTGCATGTTCATGTATGTGTGTGTGTGTGTGTGTGTGTGTGTGTGTGTGTGTGTGTGTGTGTGTGTGTAGGGTAGTGCACATGAATGTGGAGGCCAGAGGCTGATTTCACTTCCCACCTTATTTTTTGAGACAAGGCCTCTCATTGGATCTGGAGCTTTCTGGTTTGGCTAGACTGGCTGGCCAGTGAGCCTCAGGGATCCTCCCCACGCACCTTCCTAGAGCTGAGGTTCCAGATGTAATTACAGATTGCAACTACACTTTCATCCTTATTTGCTTGACATGGTACTAAGGATTGAACTTGGGTCCTCATGCTTGCATGGCAAGCCCTTCACAGACTGAGTCATCTCTCCAGCCCCTCTTTCTTTACTGTGATCCCAATCTCACCTGATAGATCTAACCATGCCCCAGTCAGCTCTCCTCTGTGTAAACCCAGGCTTTAATTCTCCCAGCTCTGAGGCTGTTTAGTAAGCTACTCTGGGGTCGGAGTGGGAAAAGAAGAGGAGAAATAAGGGATGATAGAGGAGGGGGAGGTGCTGGCTAGTTAGCAAAGCAAATACAAAATGAAATAGAGAGAAGACTGCTCAGGAAAATATCAATTTTAAACCTTGGAGAACAAAGGTTAGTTTTCCTAGACCACTTCTCTGGGTCAGCTTGAGATGTAGTGGCAGTGACTGTGGCCAAGAAATCCTGAGCCAAGTTGGAAACAAGATCACAACCGCTGTGGTCAACCAGTATTGATGGAATATTTGTTATCTTTGATCCCGACCTTCTACTTATATTTATGTCTTCCTGGTTCTTGGTATGTGCCCTTTCTAGCAGGCTACCTCCAGTCCTTCCCTGAAAGAGCCAACGTGCTTTCAAAGCTCCAGAAAATAAATATGTCCCAGAGAAGAAGTGCACTCCTAGGGGAGCAGAATTGTTTCTTTAGGAGACAATGACACTGAATTCCTTATTATGGTACCTCTAAACCTCAGCGGTGAGGGCACTGATTCCTTTGTGTTGATCTTGAAATATTTCAGCATGCAGAAATGCACGCCTAACAGTATCTCAAATAAATACCCAGCTCCACCACCAAGCATAACAGATCTTAATATTTTCCACATTTGCCTCAGGTTCTTAGAATAACACATTACAAATAGAGAAGGACTCCTGAGCCCCTTCCTTCGCTCCCTAAAGGTAACCACTGTATTGAATTTCATGCTGATTATCCGTTCCTGTTTCCCTACTATTCCTGTTATGCATAAATGCATAGGGAGTTTATTTAATTGAGTCTTATATTTTCCAAATTTGTATAAACCACATGTTCCTTCCCCTCTGTGTTCTTTTCAGTTTTTCTGAGGACCATCCTTGTCGATGGTAGTAGCCGTTTTCATCACTGTTTGTGATCCCTCTGTGGGCTGGATTCTGATGTGTCTCTTTCCCTGTTAACGGACATCAAGAGCTTCCTGGGGAACATACCTGTTGCTGTGGCGCACCACATGTACAGGACTGGCTGGCCCAAAGCACACGCAGCTGTATTCACTATCGTCCATTGCTTTATAATGGGATGTCTACCAAATTCTACTCCCATCACTGACAACCAGAGTTTTTAGTTTTTGCAACCTGGTGTATGTTGCAGAATATTTGTTTAACTTTGCAAAGATGTGTTTTGTTTAATTATATAAAGATGTATCATGTTTGTTTAATTATGGAAAGATGTGTTGCATTTGCTTAATTGTGTAAAGATGTGTTGCTGTTTTACCTTGCCTGCCTAAG